AATAGGGAGCTCGGACTTTAGGGAGCTCGGACTTAGGGAGCTCGGGTTCTTACTTAGGGAGCTCGGACCCTTAACAGGGAACTCGGACTTTAGGGAGCTCGGACTTAGGGAGCTCGGGTTCTTACTTAGGGAGCTCGGACCCTTAACAGGGAGCTCGGGCTCCTAGTAGGGAGCTCGGGTTCTTAGGGAGCTCGGACCCTTAACAGGGAGCTCGCTCTTAACAAGGAGCTCGGACTAAGTACAGCGGTCTGAAGTTCGGGCTCGGTGGTGAGCTTAGACTTGCTTCCGATGTCCGCTTTGGGCGCTCTACTGCCCCGAGCTGCTTGCCTTTGCCACGTGTCGGGCGATCGCGAGGTTGGGCCAAATTTCCCTTCATCAGAAAGTGATACCTCAATTTCCTATTATCCATGTATTGATAAAAAAAAATCCTAATATCCATGTCTATCAGTATTTATATCTGGCATCATGGATTTTAAGTTGAATTGCCCAGATTCTCTTTTTCATTTTGTTTACCTTCAACTTTATGATTTATGTCTCGATTGAATAGCATTATCTATCATATTGAATATGTGTTACCTTGTGGAGGTCTCTATATCTCTGCTTCACTTCCCATCACATTTTAAATTGCAAGTGTTCTCTCTCAATAGCTTGATTGGAACTAATCAGGAGCACTAACCTCCAAATTTTTAATAAGTTGCAATTTAGTTTTTCTAAAATTACTTTTTAAAATTTTCTTTAATTTTTACCCATGCTTTGTTACAGTGCTGATGCCATAGAGCGAGCTTGGCAGATTCTAGATCAGATACCAGGAAGGGCAACAGGTGCATATAGTCACAGTCAGGTAATTATCACACTGCACTTGGTCTTCCAATCAGTTAAATTTGCATTAATGCTAATTTTTGTTCCTCTCACATCAGGGTATCAAGGGTTTACGTGATGCAATTGCTGCTGGTATTGCAGCTCGTGATGGTTTTCCTGCTGATCCAAATGATATTTTCTTAACTGATGGTGCAAGCCCTGCGGTAACCCTAACTTCATCCCTTATTTTTCAAATTGTCAGATCAGAGATAGGAGCAAAAGAACCATCAACTGTTTTTTCTTTCTATTTCCTACCCAGGTCCATATGATGATGCAATTGCTGATAAGGTCAGAGAAAGATGGCATCCTTTGCCCCATTCCTCAGTACCCTTTGTACTCTGCCTCGATTGCTCTCCATGGCGGTACCCTTGTATGTTCATATTTATTATATAATCACAGTTTAAATACTTTTATTGGCCATCTCAACTTCATTGGTTTTTTTTTTTTTACCCAACCTTGATGAGTTGGTGTCCTTTTAGTTCATCCAATTCTAGCTCATAACACTGAAGATGATTCCTTTTTGAGTCCGTATGTGATATTGGTGATAATAATTACGAAAAAGACATGTTGATCTCTACAGGTTCCATACTATCTTGATGAAGCAACAGGATGGGGGTTAGAAATTTCGGAACTTAAGAAACAATTAGGAGAAGCACAGTCCAAGGGTATTACTGTTAGGGCCTTGGTAGTGATTAATCCAGGCAACCCAACTGGTCAGGTAAGTAATAATTACTGTTTTACTTTTGGTTATTATGTAAGTTTAGTTTGTGGAATTATGAAAGCATAATGATGACTGCCACCCTGCTTCTGTTAGTTTGCTACTATTGGTGTTTAGTTGCTTTGCGCTGTTATCAGTTAACAGTTTGGTAACAAAGTTTCTCTTTCATGGTGATCCATTGATGTAGGTTCTTGCTGAAGATAATCAGCGGGAGATAGTGGAATTCTGCAAGAGAGAGGGCCTTGTTCTCCTTGCAGATGAGGTCTTGCCCTCTAAACTTCAATGCAACTTAGTCTTTTGTTGAGTTTGTTATCTGAGTCAAATATTTAAATTGGTTGACTAATGGATTTGGACTTGGTATTTGTTGCCTTGATCAAACCAAGTCTAAGCAAACTAAATCCAGAAACAATAAACATGTTTTTTACTGCATTCATCAATAATATGAGTCTTGACTTGATACAGGTATACCAAGAAAATGTTTATGTTGCAGAGAAGAAGTTTCACTCTTTCAAGAAGATATCCAGGTCAATGGGATATGGAGAGAAAGATTTGTCTTTGGTATCTTTTCAGTCCGTTTCAAAAGGTATCTGACTTGGATTGATCTAAAGAATATAACTTAGGCAGAAGTAGACTTTTTTTTTAATCAGAACTAAAGAGACATGGTTTTTTGCTGAATTAAGGGTATTATGGGGAGTGTGGAAAAAGGGGGGGATACATGGAAGTTACTGGCTTCGGTGCTGATATAAGGGAACAAATTTACAAAGTGGCATCTGTAAACCTTTGTTCAAACATCTCTGGTCAGATTCTTGCAAGCCTTGTTATGAACCCACCTAAGGTAACATCCTTCATCACTTTTTCTTGACTTTATTTTCTATTTTTGACATAAAATATCAAAATATGGTTGGTACTACATGAGACATGTCTTTTCACTTGGAACATAATCAGATGCAATATCTTTTACCTTGAAACATCTGGCCAGAAGTCTATCTGGTTGATATCCATAATTGAAAAAAAAAGCTATATTATTTGACGTTTCTGATTACTATGATCAAGGTCCTCTGATCTTTATGGATGGGGTTTTATCCTGGTGTAAAAAGGGCAGCCCAGTGCACAAGGCTCCTGCCAATGTGGGGTCTAATTTTGCATGGAAATATTTGAGGGTTTTCTATGCCCTAGTTCATTGGATATAATATTAAAATTAATAACATAATTTGTTAAATGTAATAAAAGTTTAATAAATTAATGCTTCAGATTCCATCCACACTTTATACATGCTCTAAGATGAATATCTGCAGGTTGGAGATGAATCCTTTGAATCATTTTGTGCGGAGAAAGATGGAATTCTATCATCTCTGGCAAGGCGAGCAAAGGTTAGTTAAAACAAATAAATCTAATTTTATGAAGTGGACTAACTTTGATTACCCAAGCTAAATGCATCTTTCCTGATTTTCAGAAACTTGGGCCATTGTTTTTACCTTTAAATAGGACTGCAAACAGTATGCATTTGTTTTTGGAAAGCAGCTTCGTTCACTGTTATGCAACAGCAATACTCTTGCATGTTCTCACAGATAATTTTAGTCATAGCATATACCTGAATATATTTAGATATATTTATTCTCTGCTTATCCCTAAAGCAGACACTAGAAGATGCCTTCAACAGTTTAGAAGGTGTCACATGCAACAAAGCCGAGGGAGCAATGTATCTGTTTCCTCGCCTTCACTTGCCTAGAAAAGCAATTGAAGCTGCAGAAGCAGCAAAAACAGCTCCAGACGCATTCTATGCTCGCCGTCTCCTTGATGCCACTGGAATCGTTGTTGTACCTGGATCAGGCTTTGGGCAGGTATGGTTCATGGTCCCTCGTATTTATGGATTTCATGTGGTTTCAAGTATTTGAGTTTAGATCATTTACGTGCTTGGGACCAACCAATATTTCTGTAACCATCAGAACATTACTTTTTTGTGGAGTGGTCTGAGGAATAAAAAGAATACAGAGAACAAGAAAAGTCGGTTTAGAAGTGTGACCCTTTGGTTGAATCATTCCTGTATCTTGGAAGTGGAAGATATCCACTGAACGGTCATACTTGCTCAAAATTTCCCCCATCTGCATGTTATTTTGTTTAGTAACTCTCCTGCTTATAACACAGTATGGAGAATAGTTTGTGGTATGTTATACCTTTATTCTGGATGACTGACCTGATAGTGTGCTGCTTTGGTTCAAGGTTCTGGGTACCTGGCACATCAGGTGCACGATACTGCCACAGGAAGATAAGATTCCAGCTATTGTCTCCCGCCTTACCGCCTTCCACCAATCTTTCATGGCAGAGTTCCGTGACTGAGTTAATATGCTTGGTAGTGGACACCACCTAGTCCTCTAATAAGGTGTATCTGCCCATGTTTTTCCATCTACCTTAAATCCTAATTACTTTGGGTCGGTATTTCACCATTTTCAGATAATATCATATTGCTTGAAAACACCAACTCTTTTGCCTTCACATTAATGGTAAGGATCATCCAACCATTTTGATTTGTGGTTTTCATTTCACATCTTTTGCTATTTCAGTAGGAGTTCCGGCAAATCTTAACCACAATAATACAAATTACAATTTTGATCAGTTGCATGACCTGGTTTGGTAAACATCATAGCTATCTAATCAACCATCATTTCTGGTAAAGCTCCCCACCCCACAAAAGATACAAAGAAATCTAAGTAAAGAGAAGGCAACATTTATCCAACGGGCCAATTCTATATGGTGCCTAGCTCACTTCCCGAAACACTAAATAGCAAGTAGGATGTATGGTTGTAACATTTATCCATTTTCTTTAAAATGAATTGGATCGGATCCTCTTATTTGGATTCGGATCAGATTGAATCCAGGTTGCTTGTGATGGATTCTTATTGGACCGGGTTGGGTGGACCAAAATCTAGCCCATGCGGAGTGTTTAAAAAAGTTAATGCCAACCAGGGTGATGTTTTAAATAAGTCAATGAGTAGGTGTTCTAAGTAGGTCAATTTTATTTCACTTATCTTTGGCATACGGAAGAACATTATGGCCAATTTGATTTTGAACAGCCCAGCCCATCTCAGCTCAAATGAGGAAATAGGATTCACTGTCCCTATGCCATACCTGTAATAATCACCCAAAGCTATGAGTTTCTAAAGAGAAACTTATAATTTATTCCTACTAGTATAAACCAATGCTTAAACAATGACCCGGAATTGGAACCACACTGGAACCATTCTGGCCATCAGTTTTTGGATCGATGATTTGACTGTCTGGTTCGAACAGACGGCCTATTCTAACAAAATTTTAAAAAATAAAAATAAATAAAATAAAAAACTGCCAAAATGTTGAACAGGTCAAATGGGTCGATGGTTCAACCACCCAGGTCAATGGGTCATTGAACCCAATGGTTTTTAGTCAGTGACCGAGTTCGAGGTAAAACAGAATCAGTTGCCTGGACGGTTCACAGGCCAAATGGTCCAAGCTTACGGGTCAACTGCAGTTCAAAAACCATGGTATAAATCATCCTTGTGGGTACATGTACCACCCCGTCAAATAGATGACGACTGTCAGACAGGCAAACGTCTAGATCATTCGCTCTGGAATAATGAATAGATATGGTCCAACTAACAACAAATTTCATCACAGAATTTTAATTTCATTTGCGCTTAACGAAATCAAGAACATTAAATTCAGGCTGTAAAAGGCGGACAACATTTTATAAATTCGGCCAACTTAATGAAACTACAAGAAATTTACTGATAAAGATACAGTACATGAAATATCAATTTCTAACCTTTTTTTGCGTAAATCTTACTTTTACTGAAACAATAATATACATTTATGTAAACATGAACATAAATGCCTGCACATATATTCATTTATGCACGAATGTGAATATTTTGGCAGCTCCAGTTCATACCAATGACGATAAATCTAGATAATAACTTCATACTTATGATGGCATTGAAACTTAATTGTTGAATGAATCAACCCAAGGAAGGAATTCCATATCAAGTTTTCATTCAATTTGAAACTTTGCTTTATGACTTTTGATGGGGGTCGAATGATTAACCAATATCTTACGAGGCATCTCCATTTCTTGGCAATGGTAATTAGAAAACCCAGTTTTTCAAGGATCGAGATCAACCAATATTTTAAAAGTTCTAATGAAGAACGTTTGAACATTGTTGTTGTATCTTCTTAACCAAATGCAAATAAATTTGCAGTCCCATAGTCTAAAAACTGAATTGGTTTTAACACGTTCAGCCATTAAAAAAAAGAGTAAAGGTTGTTTTACTGCTTAGGATACCTGTTGCAAGAAAAGGAAAACCCCTCAAATAAAATAGTAAAAGATGTATGATGCATTGCATAAATGAAGACGTAGTTGTTCTCTTTCATAAGCGACTAATGACAGCTTCCACCTCAGAAGGAGAGTAGAGATGATAAGTTGGAGCCACCTTTGCTATATCGACATTGTTTGGAGTCACCTAAGAACAAAAACCACAACTCAATTTGAATGGCTATATAGGAAGCAACAGAAGATAAGCGTTTTGTTTTGTATCTAGAACACTTGCCTTTTCCTCCATTACTTGCTTCAAGATGGAAAGAGCTATTGTTTCAGCTTCCTGAAGAGTAATATCCTGCATGCAAATGGCCGTAACAAAAAAAACACACACACACGCACACAGATTCAACAATTGGTCAAAGCTCATTTTGTCAGGAGATTAGAAGTTAAAAATTTTGGCCAAATACTCCTTGTATCATTTCTTCTCAGTTTGACATAGATTTTGGATTTCTTGGTTAGATTTCTGAATCTAAAAGTTTGTTCATAAACTTCTTTTGAGATCAAATTAGCATCCCTTGTGTTTCTAAGTATGTCTTCAGTATAGCTTCCATTTATTAAATAAATGTTTGTACTTAATTTGTCTTTAAAACTGAGAAAAGTACTTGATAAACTGTTTATTGACAATTAGGCACCACTAGACATCATTAGGCACCACATCAGTGGAACAGTGAATAAACGCTGAACCGTTGGGGGAAGTGTTAAAATGAAACTTCCTCCAACGGTTGGTGTGCACATAAATCAAGACCTACTTTTGTGAATACCTATGCATACGGATCAGCACGATGGGATAAATGCTGATTTGGCAATGACATGGCACCGTTTATCAAATAAACGGAAGCCATACAAAACACCGCTTTAAGCATCTTCAGGAAAAGTAGCAGGAGAAAACAGAATAGAAAACTAATATTCTTTAACTGGCTTGTCAGATACCCTCCAAAATCATGCCTTTCTCATGCTATGGACTGTTATTTCTGGGCCTACAACACCCCAATATCAGTAGATATTTTACTACATAACTCGTTTAGAAAGGTTTACAAAGTAGTAAACCAAGGATGTTCAGTATTAAAACCTAGTTATTGTTTTATTTATCTCATTATTTTCTAGTAATTCTGTTAAGCAGGTAAACTTGCCAAACTTAAAAACGGTTCTGATCCATTTCAAACTACTGACTATTGTCTAGAATTTCAGTTGTCCTGCACATCAGCGAAGCTAAAAGTAAGAAATTTGTAGACAACCAAAGTGGTGTTCGGTGGCACTATTGTCTAGATTTCCAGATATCAAATAGTGCAACCAAACAAGCCCCAAGAATGAAGAACAAAAGAAAATATATACATATGTTTGTGCAAAAAAATGCCAAAGGTTAGGACCATATCCAGTCCACCCCTCCTAAGAGACCAGATAGCTGGGACCAACATTGAGTGATGGCAATGTATGTGCGTAATTTGTTATGTAAGTAGAAGATATCAATACCTTATTATACTGCTCTTGCAAAGAGCTGTCTGCTCCTTCAGAACCCGAACCTATAGCCTTTGCATTGCACTGCCAGAATGTGCCAGATGGATCTGTGTAATACCTACAGTACAGGTAATATGTATATAATTAAGATACATGCCCAAGTTTTGAAATCCACGAAGTGTTGTAGGAGCATTATGATTCTACTAAGGCTGCTCCCCCAACACACAATGAAAGAAAAAGAAAACAACTTCAAAGTATTGTTGTGGGAGCAATTGTAATTCTATCAAGAACGCCAAAGTTTTGATACTCCAAAAGATAATGATGTCCTTGGAGATTATAACAAGGTCTATTTGTTATACTGCTTCAGCAATAGCCTCATTTCTTCTAGGCATTTCTGATAATACTCAAAATGTCCAGCTAAACAAACTGGGTGTTTCAAATTAGGAATTAACTGTCTCACATCCATTAAGGCATTAAAGCAGTCATGCATCAATATTGTTCCATTGACCTCAAACTTTTGTCTAAGCCCTTAGCATATGTAGATTGTAGAATTATACAAACTTCAGCCATGACAGAAAGTAGATTTCTAGTCATGTACAAAGTAGATTGCAAACCATCTACAACACCAGTGAGAAGTGATTTGATACAAAGTTGAAAGGTCTAGAAGAGCCAGGGGCAGACCCAAAAGGACATTGGTTGAAGTAGTGAAATGATTTAGGGGCCTCCAACTTCAACAGATAATGGCACTGGACAGAGTGAAAGGGTGGAACACGATTCATGGAGCCAACCCCATATAGTTGATTAGTTAGGACAAGACTTAGTTGTGGTACTTGGGGAGTCCCAGCTCACCACATTTGTTAGTCATATAGAAGGCATGGAAAGTTCGTAAAGATCTCAAAATTAAGTAGCACTGCTAATATCAATATAACCTTAGCAGTGCCAAACTGAAACTAAAAGACATAATTTATGTCAAAATTTAATATAAAAGTTCAATAACTAAATGGGGAGAAAGTACTCACAGGCTAGGACCATTCTCGTCATGACCAGCAATGAGAAGAGATACCCCAAAAGGTCGAGACTGTACAAAAATGAAATTGTCATCCATTAGACTGTACAAAAATGAAATTGTCATCCATTAGACTGTACAAAAACAAAATTGTGATCCAGAATAATCCCTATGTATCTTTGCTTATAAAAGCAATTCAACATCCATAATGTCATCAAYTTTATTCTGTTTCATTTTAATGTCAACCATAAAAAACATACAATCAGTTTCCTTTACATTGCATTTCTTTTCAACACTTCAAGTTGAGTTTGTTTCAACATAAAATGGACTTAACAAATTTCAGCTTGAAATGCTTGAGTTATATTCTTGCCCCTTTTACAATCAAAACCTTGTTTTCTATATCATTCACATATAAAGTTTGGAACAAATTAGAAGGGGTAGAAAAGTTTTCAATGTAAAAGTGATGAAAATAGTAGTAAGAATATTTTACCTTGAAAAAATTTTACACCCATTTTATGGAGAAACAAAAGCAGCCTTAAGAATTAAGATAAAATAGAATGCCAAATGGGAGCAAAGAAAATATTCATCAAAAAAAAAGGGAGCAAAGAAAATAAACAAGGAACAGTCCTTTGAAAAGGGTGTTATTTTAGTTGATATGTTTAGGTCATTCAGTAGTGAAGAATGAAGATAACTATGAAATCCCATAATCAGCCCCTAGGAGAACTTGCAAATCCCATTTGACTTATGCTTGAGCTGGGTCATATTCTTGCACTGCAACATACAGTTGGAAGCAATCAATTGATTATAAATAACTTAAATAGATAAATTTTAGCATAGAAAATCTTGTCCTATATCTAAAATGCAGGATTGACATTCTGTGATACCTGGACATTTGTATATGCCTAGCATTGACACTTTTAAATATGTAAAATGTAAATGGTATGTTTTAACAAATTATACTATAAAAGTTCTGCAAATCTTAGAAAGTTAATTAAATTTGGCAAGACAAGTTTTGAGAAATGAGATTTGGCTTCAAAACTAGATATAAGTTCATGAAAAGCATATATGGGACACCCTTACTCAAATCCATGTCCAGGATTTTAGGAAATGGTGTCATATCCCGGTCCTATATCTGTGCCCATGCCCGTACCAATATCCAGGTATCATAGTTGACATAAATACATTCTTGAAGTAAATAGAAAAAAAGAATAATGATAATACTGGATCAGCCATCCTGGGTAAGGCCTCTCAGGTCTTGGATACATTTTTCTTGTTTTGCTTTGATATTGTCTTGTTGAACTTTTGACCTTTGTGGTTACTTCTTGATTCCCCCTCTTTATACTTTGATTCTTTCTTTTTTGGATAATTACCCTCTTTATACCTTGTTTTCATCTTCTTTTCCAATTAATGTATTTTCTTTTACCAGTCAGGAAAGCAAAATGAATGATGAAAGCAAGTACTCAGGCCAAAAAGTAATGCTTATTCAGAAAAACAAGTAATTAAAATTATCCATTGAAATATTGGTTTCTTAAGAGGATATCTTATATGTCATCAGCTTGTAGCCATAAATTTTAACTCCTGGCTGCAACAGAGATACATCAACAAATACCAATCAAAAGAGCATAGACATAGCAATTAAGGATTAACAACTAAAAGGAACTGTTAAAGCTTCCAGCCTAATGAATATGGCCAGTGAAATGAGAAGGCTTTACAAGGGCTTATATTTTGAAGCAATGCAAAGCAATAAAAAAAAAGCATGGAAAACTGAAAATTGAATTTTTTTTATTGGTAAAACTGCAAAATGATAATCAAAGTACAGATGAAATTAAAGATGATGAAATTGATATGAAGATTAAATATGATGAAATTGTGCAGAAGTTCTCATCAATTCAGTTTATTTGAACTAAGCCACCATGTGCCCATGATGTTCGATACCATAATCAGTTTCCAACAGACAAGAAGTCAAAAATGAAGGTTCTTTGGACATAACTTTTCATTTTAAGGGATAATAAATTCAGATGAGAACTAAATATGATGAAATCATGCAGAAATTGCACTAAATTATCATGTGCCAAATACAAAATAATACTAATACTTAAATGGTACAAAGTTAAAACCATGGATTCTTCATCTCCTTCACCAAACCGTAAGGCAAGATCGCAAAGAGCTTGAGTAGTAGATTCCACAGTCATTGGTTCCCCATATGAGAATCTGTGATTCTGGTAAACAGAATTACATAAAATTAGTAATTGTCCTATGTTTCAATTACTAAGAGAGAAAGTGAATAATGCAGCACCTGAGTTTCAACTCTAGCATGTTCAACAAGTGTACGGGCATCAGCAATCAGTCCACTCATAGCGCACCCTATATGCTCGTCAATTTCCATAATTTTCTCCACACTACTGGGTTCCTGCAACAGAGATTCAAAAAGACATAAATTCATGTGAGTGCATACATTGCATAATGCTATAGAAGGTTTCAGAATAGAGAATAATAATAGCCAGCAAGTGAGTCACGAAAAGCATCTTAAATAGCAAAAATCATGTCTGGCTGGAAATCAATCAGAAACAAGGAAACACTAGCTAAATGCAAGTTTTTTTTTTTCATTAGCCAAGACTTGTATATCTTTCTACCAAAGTTATTGTCTATATAGGAAACAAACTCTGTTCTATATGTACAAGCTCTCTTCTTCAGGAGACATGACTTTACACAATAATGTAACATAAACAATCACATTGGAATGCAAAGGCCTTGTATAAATACAGGAACAAGTATAAAACCTATTGTGCAGGAAATGTGGTCCCCTCCAACACAACAAAGAATAAAGTTGAACTTTGATGGGAGATCTAGAGGTAACCCAGGACCTTCAAGTATAGGGGRAGTATTCAGAGATGGAGATGGGAGATTTTTTTTTTTTTTTTGATAGATTGGAGATGGGAGAATTGTTGCTATGTTTTCTGGGCCAATAGCAGTGGGAGACTCATTGTGAGCAGAAGTGATGGCTCTGCTTCAAGGTGTAAAATATGCCAAGCAATTGGGATTACACCAAGTGGAGATAGAAAGAGATTCTAAATTGTTAATGGACTGGCTGCAATCAGGCAAGTTGGGAGCATGATGTATCAACATCCCGTACAGGAAATTCCCAATATAAAAAGGGAGCTTGATGCAGGCTTCAAGTGGAAAAGAAGATTATCCTTGGGTTGTTTACACATATGTAACTATGTTTATACATGTATTTCTACAATGTGTGTGAATACTCATAAACTGTTAATTGTGGCCAACAGTTTCTAGCATATATTTATATAATGCAGTACATGTTTGAATGGTTGCTCTTTTAGGCTGGATTTATCACAATTGCAAGAGTGCTCTGATACCCCACACCCACCTCATTTTCTGGTTGATAACAGCAAAATGTTATGTTAATGTGTAAACATGAAGGTAACAATGCATAAGTACACCCCATGAGTTGAAATTAGTTGTAGTTTATTATACTAGCCAAAGACATACAGATAAAATAAAAATATACACTCACTAGGTAACACCCCTTTGAAAGATGTCTTCTTTTTAATGAGTACCCCCCAAAAAAAGAAAAAAAAAAAAAAAGAAAGAAACTTCTCCGTTTTAGGAGATAAACTCTTTAAGCACTAAGCACCAATCTACCAGCAAAACAATTAGCTAATATAGTAACCTCTAACAAAGACCCCACTCATATATCAAAGGATACAGGGGAAAACCCAGCCCTCTAATTTGAATAGTTCCCAAGGGCCTATGCTATTGCTCATTTGCTCCTGCCTAAAATCCAAGCTATGATAATCTTTTTTTATAAGCAACAGAAATATTTCATTAAAGAGAAAGAGACCGCCACATTGCTCAGAAAACAAAGCAGCTGGTCAAAATTAGTACAAGGGATTAAAAAATAATACAAACTTAGCCCATAGAAAGATATTACAAATTACAACCTGACCTTGGGCATCCCCATTCAAACTGTTCTTTTTTTTTATAAATAAAAAATCATATTCCATTAATTCAAAGATTGGTTACATGAAAATCCCCTTAGAGAGGCGTGAGGTGCCGCCTCTCCAAACAGAAAGCACAAAAACTACATCAAAGAGTACATGAATGTTAAAACAAGGGTTACAGTTGCGCCCAGAACAATGTCTCCCTATTTGTCCCTTGTTTTGCCAAGATATCAGCAAATGCATTAGCTAATCTCCCAACCCACTGTACTGTTACAGACATATTCCTTGTCAGCCATTTGAATTTCTTTAACTCTTGTAGCCCCAAGTGACATCCTCCGGATTATTTAACCAGTCCACCACTGTCTTAGAATCCCCTTCAATCAGAAGCTGCTCCACACCCATTTCTTTTGCAAGAAGTTTTCCTTGTATTCCAATCAAAAAAAGAAGTATTCCTTGTATTTCAGCTAACAGCAATGCCCGGATAGAGTTCCCAACACCTAATGGGCCTGAGTAGAGTAAGACAACCTCTCCAGCCTCATTCCTCAGTACACCTCCCAACCCAGAGGGACCCGGGTTACCCTGGCTGCTCCCATCAAAATTCAGCTTCAATGAACTGAGAGGAGGGGGGACCCAGCTAGTCAATACCTTTACCTTGGAGGAGGAACAGCTTGCTACTGATAACCAATCCCTCCAACAATCAGTAAAGGAGAAATGGTTAAACAATTCCAGAGTCTTTAAACAATGTATTGACTTGTACGGCTGTACATAATGCAGTCCTTCAAGGCTTGACTGCTCCTTCCCTTTTCTTGGAAGATCCTGGCATTCCTTTCTTCCCAAACTGTCCATAACAAGGCTGCCCGTGCAAACCTCCACATTTTATGGGGCCAAGAGAACATAGCAGGGTTAAAGATTGCGCTTACTTCTGCTAGCATATCCCAACTACACCCAAACAAAGATAGAATCCAAACCTAGAGCTCTGCAGTGACACTAAAAGCTGTTTCCTTGCCACTCCTGCCCTGGTTAACGAGTCTGCAAGTCCATTAGCACATCTAGGCTCTAACTTGAATGAACTATTCAATATGGCAGACTATCTCACTATCAACCTAGGAATCATATATTGATTTCTTTTTTGAGGAAATCATATAGATTTCTCATCCAGAAAATTATAGTTTGATAGTCTCCCTCAACCTCCACATTCTTCAAATCTTCCATACTCATCAAATTTAACCCCTGAATCAAAGCATGTATTCAGTATTCAGCCCTTAAGGAATGTCCAACACCAACGGGACCAGAAAAGCAAAGTATCATGAGCCCATTGTGATCCCTGACTACACCCCTCAATACCTGAAACTCCCAGATTAACTAGGCTGTACCATCAAAATTAAACTTAATTCTCCCTTCTGTTGGTGCATTCCACGTAGTCATTATTTCTGGTTTTCTCACTTGGAAATCTGCAATGATTTTCCAGCCCCTTAAAAGGTCATTTAAGGAAATATCATTGAATTCTTCACATACCAAATCCCAATGAGAAACTCCTAACATAGTGACCTCAATCAAATCCCCCAAACCTTTAGTCTTTTCCTAAAAAACTCTGGCATTTCTTTCATTCCACAGCTCCCATAGAACAACTCCCTGTACACAGTCACAATATTGTCTCTCTCTTTTTTTTTAGGAAACTGTAACTTCCATTAGACAATTGAAAAGATTACAGGCTTACCACCCACAAAATGGATGAAAAGAAATAAAAAACTTACAAATAGGCCCAAAACAAAGCCTCCCTAGTAACTCCTTGCTTAGCTAAAGTGTCAGCCATTCCATTTGCTGACCTTCTTACCCAATTAAAGTGCACCCCAATC